AAGGCAGATAGAAAATTCTTAGGTAATTAATTTAATGTTCCTAGGATATGGAAAGGCTTCCATTCCTTGAATTTCCACCAACGATGTATGCACTCCCCTTTTAGTGAGAGAATTCATTGTATTAATAAATACAATAAAAAAGCTTAAATAATTAATGGATTCTTTACTGTGTATAATGTGTATAATTAAAAGGGTATTTTACTATAAACGAAGCATGATAGATTCACCAGGGGAATAAAAGAAGCATGAGTGTTGATGAAAAGGGAAAAAAATCACCATAGATAAAAAATCATTATAATCAAGCCATATCCATACTATTAACGCCTATCATCGTCACTATACTTGTGACCAAATATAAATAAAACCATAATTTTCGAAAACCATTAAAAATTGAAGATGAAATAAGTAACACATTATTCGACCTAATTGGAACTGCTTAGAACAAAAGCGGATTAAAATCTCCCCAATGAAAACCCCACATCAATGCAATTCAATGTTGCAATTGCAACTTATTGCCACATCAGCTTGCAAGTCACTATAATTGCACCATTGGAGATGCTCTTATGCAAATTTGCACCCTTGCAATAGCTTCTCACATCATAGCAATTTAGAGATGCAATTGCACCTCCTTGCCACATCATCTTGCAAGTCACAAAAATTGCACCATTGGAGATGACCATTACTGCATCATCTCGTCACCTGTCTTAGGGAACTTAGCCATGGCAAATTCAAAAAATACTACATGCATAGAAAAATATTGGTCTGGACAATTCAAAAAATGGGAGACTTTCCTAGTCAGATGATGTTCTGGCTCCCCTCAGTACCTGACAGTTTTCAGTGCTGGAGAATTAAGGAAAAGACAAAAGACTGGAAAAAAAAAACTTGTTAACAGAAGACATCCATTGCTGGCCCCTTTGCTGCTCCAACGCTCTCAATCGACTATTATGTAAGCCGAGGACGTTTGCTTGAGGAGGACTCAGGGGTCTCTTGATGCTCCGTATGCCGAAGGTCAATAACAGTTTTAGTCAATTCGGCTATAAGGTACACCGACAAATAAGCGCACAAGTCCTCCTTAGCATAAACCCCCATATCCATCCCAACCCATTCAAGAAAGGTGGTCACGAAGGTGGCATATGGAAAGGCAGTGCACCAGTTTTCCCCATTAGGAGCAGCCTCAACCATGTTCAGGCACATGAGAGATGCGTGGTTAACAGGAACACCTCTTTGAGCTTGCACAAGGATAAACAAGTCAAGTTTACGAATAATCGAATGACCAGGGTACCTTGGCAGGAAGAAGTTGACGATCATCCAATGGAGGAATCGAAGAGGATCTGGGAGGAAAGAAGCCTGGATTCGCCCCTTCGTGAGTTTCTCCGGTTCAACTTCAAACTCAAAATCGTACAGCCGCCCAAGATCGCTTCTGCTCTCAATGGGGTGTCCTTCGGCGAGAAGATCGAGGATCTCAGCAAACTGATGAGGCTGGAAGCATACTCTATGTCCCAGGAAGATCGACACGAGATGAGAATCACAGGGACCAGAAAGCTGTAAATTGTGGTAGAAAATCCTCGCCACATAGGGGCAGTAACTGGTGCTTCCTCGACTCCGGTGATCAAAGAACTTTTCCCAGCCAAGATTTTTTATTAACTTCTTCACTTCTTGAGGGAAATGACTTAGGTGGATGAACTCGTACTCAGCCACAATTGTTGTTTTGCTTGTAAATGAAAGGTAGTCACCGAGACTGGCGGTCGATCGGCAGTCTTCATTTGATAGAGATAGTATCCCCATTTCCGCAAACGATTTACCTTTGTTTTCCATGGAGTCTGGAGGAAGAAGGAACAAGGGGAAGGTGAAGATGAAGATGGAGGAAAGAGAGAATGTAGGTGTAAGAAAAAGTGATCGTGGGGGTTGAGTCTGGAGACGTGTGTGTGATGGAGACGGTTGAGTGTGGAATGTCAAGAGTTAGAAGATTTCGGAAGATATGTAATGATGATGGTAACTCGTGTAGGTTAAACTAGGATAAGTAAACCTAGTTAAAATAGGGTTGGCGCACAAATTGATACGGCAGGAGAAATCAAATGGGCTCGCACGTTCCAGGCCCACTTTTGAAAATTGCATGGTCATGTACAAGCCCACTTTTGAATGTTATTTAAAAGCCTGAAAAAATCAATGATCAGACCCAGTCCAACTAGAATTAGTCCTAAACGCACCGTTAATACATAAACACAAATTAAGGAGACCTCTCCATCTGATTCGAATCAAATTAGGTCTTCTTCATCTCCTTCCTCAATCCTCTGGGCGAGACGAACACTACATATCAGGAAACCTTAATTTCACTGAGTGATAGAAGTTTCGAGAAAATGACAATAACGCTAAGACAAGATGACAAAGCACTAGCGACATGAACCCTAGGGTTAGCAAACCTCTTTCAAGGGTTCTTTTGCAAACGAAAAGTTTGATGAACACAATAATATACATGGTCTCCGTAATCGTGTTAGAAAGAGATAGGCGAGGGGAAATAAAATGGCGAAGAACAAACAAGACAAAATAAATTGGGAAATTCAATCTACCTCGAATGTGGATGCAAGTAATTGGGATTCAAAAAGATGATTAAGTTGGGGAGTTCAAATTGGATGGGGAGCTTCCCTTGGAACTGTGAAGGGTGTCCCTCCAAGACGGAAGAGGGATCGTGTAATTGATTAGGGAGACTGGAAATTGGTTAGGGCAGCAGTGGGTCTACCCAATTGGGTTTGCAGTCTTAATCCATTTAATTTAATCGGGACAGTTAGTTGGACTAGGATGAAAACAAACTTAACGCGGCAGGAGCCTTTTTGTAATTTGTTTAGTTATTTAGTGGCGCAGTTAGGTTTAACAAACGTGATCCGTGGAGATTAAAAATGAATGGCTAAGATCGGCCACGGTACCCGTACCCGGATTTTGCCCTGGGCACCGTAGAAGTCACCTTAGTAATATTGGCATTATGCTAATTTTATAGACCATATTTGAGCAAATTTGTTAAAAAACTTAATGTTTGAGTGAACTTCATGTTTTAATTTTTGCAATTTTATTAAAAATGCTTCATTTCAAGTAACTCTTAGATTTTTATTAAAAAAAAAAGTAACTCTTAGTTTTTGAACTTCACTTAGCGAAATGAAAAAATGGTTTCCCGGGTTTAGAACCAAAAAATTCATTTTAAAAGAGTATATATTATATAATATTTCAGGTTAATCGGGCAGGTTTGGGTTAGTCGGGTTTGGGTTAATCGGATTGTGAATCAATCGGGTTACAGGTTTAATCGAGTTGCAGGTCAATCAGATTGGGGTTAATTAAGTTGCGGGCAGTTGCATTGCGGGTTGACCGGGTGACTAGCCGAGCGAATTATGGGTCATTGAATTTTAGTCCATATGAGTTGCAAATCGGGTTAAACAAGCGAATGACTCTGGTCGGGTTCTATTTTGATACCACTATATATAGTTGTTTTCCCGGCGAGAAAATCTAGATGGAATAGAATTGAGAATTGCACCTTTGACTTCTAATCAAACGATTGTGGGTTCGAGTCCCAATAGGTGTGCGATTTGTTTTCCCGGCGAGAAAATCTAGATGCAACCGAATTGAGAATCGCACCTTTAACTTCCAAACAAACGATTGAACAACACCATTCATACCTCTTGGAACAAAGTTCAAACAAGGGTGTTCAATATTGTTGATGAACTATGAAGCAAACTAAATTACATTAATTATACTCCTATTGAGGTTTAGTGAGAGCTCCCAAACTACAACTATGGCTATGACTACATTTATAGAGGAAGATATAAGGATAAAATTTGACAATAGGTTGTCTGGTGTGATTTTGGCTAACCCTTTATCAGTCATCTTCACCTCCTATTTATAGTAACAAGAAGTAACTACCTTCAAAAACCACTCTGCTGATGTATAGTGACGGTTACTCTGTCAACTGCTCTGGCGGTTACCTTGATGTTGGATGTGCCACCCTCTTGAGTCTTGGCCCTCTCGTCTTGAGACTTACTCCTTGCTCTTGGTATCTCTTCCGTAGCTTTGCTTGTCTATAGAGGTACTCGAATCACATGAATAAAAAATGGTAAAAATACTTTACCATTACGAGAGCCCCATACCCCCTTACCACACTATGGGGGTGGTATCTTGGTGACCCCCTGACCACTTTGTGGGGGCGTATGTTCATCCCCACCCATGGCCATACCATGGGGGCATCATCATTCTCCATACTTACCCATATTTCACTCCATGGTATTGCACCCCATTGAGGTCATATGGATCACTTGCACCACCACATCATGGTGGTGATGACCGGTTGTTAATCCTCATGGGAGCCGGCGTTGGTGAACCTCCCCCCCCCCCCCCCCCCCCCCACACTCCCTGATCATACCATGGGGGGTGGTATGTTGGTGGTCCCCTGACCACCTCATGGGGGGTGCTCCTTGCCACCCTCATCATCTTACATACTTGGCCAAATTTCCAACCCAACTCATCGCACTAAAGGGTATGGTGATCACCCCGTTACACTACAAGAAAATTGACTTTTAGAGGCTAAACTATAGTGACAAATATTTTAAAAGCCTTCAAAAGTATTAAATAGCAGCAAACACACAATGTGCCGCTAGAATCATCAAAATCTGTCGTCAATAGCCTAAATTTTCTCTTATCTAAATATTACTGAAAATAAATTAATCTTTTACCGTCTAATACCTGATAATTGCCTTTTAAAGTCCTTAATCATTTCCTTTTAGAGGCAGAAAACTATCCTTCGGAAAAATCAAATTTTCCAAGATAAATAAAAAAGCTGCTATACCCTTTTAGTTTTATTTTATTTATAACAATAAATTTAGAAGAATCAGATAATTAATTGCCTCTAAACATATCTTTCCCTGGCAAATAAATTCGCCTCTAATTGCGTTACCTATTAAAATAGTATGATAAAAAAGGAATTTATTGGAAATTGAAATTAAAATATTATTTTTTACATTAGTTATTGTGTAGGGCGGGGAGAGAGGGCTGAAAACTCGGCTCGTCGTAACTGCATCGCGAATTCAAAATAATTTTTTAAAGGGACTTTTATGCAACCCTAAATTGTAAATCTCCGATCCCTTTATGCACAGATTATTCTTTTCCCCATAATTTCTTAGGGCTATGCCTATTCCCATCAAGATCAACCGCCGAATCATCGTCGTCGTCGGACACTCGTCGAGTGACAGCCATTGTAATCGACATGGGGTTCTGTATCGATCCTTCCCTCTTTATATCCTCCTCACTCATCTAATTGAGCCCCGCAGATGGCCGTCAAACTACTTTGCGTCTCCGGCATCCCCTCAATTCTGACTGCTTGCTTTGTTTCCTTTGCAGGAAGCCCGCAATCGAAAATCAATTGGTTTGGTTTAGTTTAGGGTGCCTAAATCCACGTCAAGAACACTTGATGAACAAGGGTGGGCTGGTGGCTGCATTGACGATGAGGATCATGGTTTCTTTTTTTTTCATTGTGGAATCGTTGAGGAGATTACTAAGTACGTACCCTGCTGAACTTTATGGTCAAGTTGATGACTATTTGTAATTCAAATTGTTATGTTGAATTAATTAACTGATTGGTGTTGTTTTGGTTTCGCAGCAACAACGAACCCAGGTTTATAGGCTCGATCACCGGACAAGATTTTGAAGTATGCTTCATGCCGAATGACTTTCAATATTTAAGGATGAGAGGTCTATAGAATCACGTTGCAACCAATAGTTTCTTTGTAGTTTGTTTATTGTTTGTATGTTTTATCGGTTGAGAATTCTGTTTTGGTTGAATCCAATTGATTATGATTGACTCGAGTATATAATAAAAGAGGGATTTTTCTTCATATTTGTTTACCAATATTTACTTACTTTTTTAATAAGTAAATTGTAATTGTGACAACAATAAAGTTATGTGGGCAAGATAGCATAGCAGACGACAATTACATTAGCCTGCAATTCTACCAAGTTGATTCCAAAATGCGACGCTAATACTACCTTTTACAAGCAATGAATTTGCCTCTAATTGATATATTTTGCGGCTAATATATTTATTGGGGAATTGGTATTTCAAATAATTATTTGCTTTTAAATTATATTTTTAGAGGCAAATATAAATGCCTTTGAATAAATAATTAGAGACACATAATATTTGTCGCTAACATCTGTCGCTAAAGAGATTTAGCGGCAGCAGTATTGACAGCACACAATTATGTGCTGCTATAGAGCTATAGAGGCACATAAATCACCTATCGTAGCAAATAGACTTAGTCGCTAATTATCATTTTTCTTGTAGTGTTAACACACCATGTAGCCTCCTTGCCTTAGCCAAATTTCACCCTAGATGATCACCCCTTGGAACATCATGGGGGTGACAACATGGTACCCACCCCCTTACCACGTCATGGGGGTGGACAAATGATGGCCACCCCCTTGGCACCATCTGGGGATGGTGGTATGATGGTCACCCCCTTGGCACGTCATGGGGATGGCAACATGGTACCCACCCTTACCACGTGATTGGGGTGCGGTATGATGCCCACTCGCCTTACCACGTCCTGGGGTGGCAATATGATGCCCACACCCCTCGGCAACTCTTTGAGGTGGCTCCAATACTTAGCCAAATTTTGGACTCGATGGCAAGGGTGGCTCACATGATGGCATCAACATGGGTGCCATGGACCCAAAAGTCCAATCCATGTGGTCCATCTTAATTGATTTTAATTGTTATAATTAAGTTGACCTTATAAAACCATTTAATTTCTTGTTTTAACCGATGTGGTACAAATTGGTTTTTTTATAGGTAAACAATAGTATTGAACAAACCTAGATCGTCAACCCCTCCCCAACTTGATATGTCGTACTAACTCACACCAAACAAGTAACTAGCCCCCACTTAGCCATTTCTGGGATTGTCCATGGTATCTACTAGTCACGGGCCCGACCAGTTTGCCGGATTCAGTTTGCAATCACGTAATTACTAATAGCAATTTGTATTCGAGCTACGCATTAGTTTAAGAAAATCTTAATTAAATACTCTAAACATTCTTCAACAATTTAAAAGGTTCAACATCATAATGTTTTTTTATATTTAATGACTAATTGAATAAAATCCTTTTATAAAAATAAAAGAAAACCCCCAAGCAAGGGAACTAACTTCTAAAGACAATTTAAAATGACTCTTCTAATTACTCCTAATCATCTAAGATGACTGCACGATTTCTTCATGAGCAACATCATCGTCTCCACTAATCATGTCTTCATCTTCATTAGTGACACATTTATCTGCATCATCAATTGTCTCTTACTTCTTCTCTTTCAATAATCTCATTATTTTTTCTCTGCATTTCATTGAGCAATAAAATTTAATAATAAAATATTTTCTAATACAAAGCATTTTTTTCATTGTAGTATAATTTACCTAGTCCAAGGTATCAACAATTTCCAAGATTTGTCTTTCTCCCCATCCCTGATCTCGATATGTATATATTTCTGATGATGAACAATGTCTTTCTTCTTCTCAACAACAACCTCATCTCTAGCACCTGATCCATTATCTCCACCATTAGTAATGTCATTTTTGTTCTCATGCATCAACATTATGAATTTAGATCGTTGACGTTTATAAGTACAATATATGTTGTCCTTTTATAGAATCATAAGTGATTAATATATATCGGAGATAAAATTGAGGCCTAAAACAATTGATTGCACTTTAGTGGAAATGAAGCAAAGTTCCACACTGAGTACCAAGATTAAAAATAACAGAGTTGCTATATTTTCATGAAGGTAATGAAAGAAATAGAAGGGTGTTCTCCACCTGTTAAATTTTATTCATCCAAGCAATTCTGTTAATTAAAAACTCGATTCTTCATCCGCAAATTGAAAGATATCATTTAGAATAAAATACATAACTAAGTACGAGTTGTGGATGGTATAAAAATTTATATACAATAGATAATAACACAAATTTGTATTATTATTTATCATTAGTTTGATGCAAGTAGAATTTACATTGATCAAGTCAGAAAATCACTACTACAACCACCAAAATCACTACTAATTTAAGTAGTAGTAATTTTTCAGTAGTAATATGTTTATGTCTAAAATTTATATTAAAAAGAAGAGAAATAGTTAAATAAATTATTTATTTACTAGATTAATTTTTTTTGTGTATATACCGAATATGTCCCTCACTACTCCCCGCCATTAGATTTAGATTAAAAGTAATGAATAGTGATTAGATTGGTTATTACGGTGCTAACTCTTATAGAGTTAGGACTGTAACTCGTCCCGAAAATTGATATACAAAAGGACTCATACGTCCTTCAATTGATGCACTCCATCCTCCTGCTTTTTATGTCCCATGTGATGTGTTTTAAAATTATGTTTGGACGTAAATTGAAAAATTTAAGAAGCTGGGCTACTCCGTCCGTCCTGGCCCATGTGATGTGATTTTAAAATAGTCGAAATCGAGCTTCCACTCCATCCATAACTACAAAGCATGTTTTGTTCGCGACTCGAAGATGGATCATAAATCTGTATAATGATGGAATGTCATAAACAAAAATAAAAATTGTTTGAATTAATTTATTTTATAGTTTGTAAATGCAAAAAAAAACTCAAAATTATTCATTTACTAATAGGAAAATAGTCTCATAGGATAAGATAGGTGGAAAAATGGTAATTAATATCTTTTATCTTTTTTCAAACTTCAAACTTATAATGCATAACCAAATAAGATGATTATAATGTTGTGAATTTCACCTTGGCTCAAAATTAATAACTTCTAGAATTCTTGAATTTGCTAGCAGCAAGGTCGCTCCAATTGAGGAGAAGGTGCTCTCGCCTACAAAGTTGAAGATCATTTAATTAATTTTCATTAATTTGATTGCAAATGTTTGAATTAATAATAAAGTAATTTAAATGTTTCCTTGCCATGGAAAGGAGCAACACATAATAATGTAATGATCAGAATGAGAGGAAGATCTCCCGCATTTGCAAGGATAACATTTAATTGGGTAAGAATCCTACCAAAGATAGTTACCTTGATAACCAATCCCTCGTACCCAAATTATATATTAGGTTTATGATTAGAGCTTAAGTCATGCGTGCTATTTTAAACGGAAAGCTAAAAGAGTTACATAGTCATGAAGTTTTTGTTGTGCAACTCTTTGCGGGTAATCTTTCTAGTGAGTCTAGTAGTTATGAATAAACTCGAATACTTAATAAGCTGGCCAACAACATATGTGGAGTGAAAACTTAAAAGTGAATGGTTTAGCTCTATATGCATAATTTTGAATTAAATTTGAATTGAGAGTAGTCATTTGAACCTAAATGAAATTTCATTTGGTTGCAGTTCTTGTCAATCTCGTATTGTTTGATGAAATTAAACTTGTAAGATGGTATGGTTGGGATATTGTCGAATGCTTAGGTCTCAGTATTTGATTCAAATTTTATTTGGCCAATTCTTAAGAAAAGAAACTAAGAAAAGGTGGCTAATGCTGATCAGTTGAACTCATTTAGGCCTATTGCTTGCATTAATATCCTTTATAAAATTATTGCCAAAGTTCTAGCCAATAGGTTGAAGAATGTGCTTGCCTCTGTCTTTAGTAGGAACCAGTCAGCCTTTTATTCAAGGGAGAAGTATTGTTGAGAACATACTGATGGCACAGGAAATTGTTCATAATTACAAGAAAGTTAATATTTCTTCAAGATGTTCTGTAAAGGTAGATCTGCGTAAAGCTTTTGATTCGGTTGATTGGAGTTATTTGATGATGGTTATGGAGAAAATGAGGTTTCCACTAAAATTTTTACAGTGGATTAGGGTTTGTTTGAGTTCTGCTACATTTAGCATCTCGATTCATGGGAGTTTGTTGAATCATGCTGCCTCCCAGGGTGTTCTGCCTTTCCATCCACAGTGTGAGAACTTAGGTTTAACCCATTTGAGCTTTGCTGACGATCTGCTAATTTTTACTGAGGGATCAGCATATGCTTTAAATAGTCTGAGATCTATCTTGAATGTCTTTTATCAATTATCTGGTCTCCAATGTAATCCAGATAAGTGTGAGGTTTTCTTTGGGGGTTATGCACATCAGTTTAAACAGAATGCTCTCAAGATTTCTGGTTTCAAAGAAGGGACCTTACCAATTAGGTACCTGGGTTTGCCTCTGCTTGCTGGGAAGCTATCCAGTAGGGAATGTGCAGTCTTGATAGACAAGATAACTAGTAGAATCAGGAGCTGGAGGGCAAATAAGTTGTCTTATGCTGGGAAACTTCAGTTAATTGAGTCAGTTTTATACTCTTTGGTTCATTATTGGATGTCTATATTTCTTATACCGAAGAAGGTTCTCAAAAGTGTACAGAAAATCTGTTCTGATTTTCTCTGGCATGGGGATAAGTCTGGTAGGGCGAAAGTGGCTTGGGAGATCCTTGCTATGCCAAAGAAAGAAGGGGGAC